TGTTGAATCCGTACTGCCAGGAATACCTACATACATTTACTGACTGGCAATAACGAGGATTGATAATGGAATAATAAAAAATATAGCACTATTAAACCATTCTATTTATTTATTATCAATTCGGTAGTAATTGATTACAGAATAAATACAGATAAATATTTAGATCTGTAGGCGAGTCTACTAGATTTTGTGGTGTGAATATGTGCACACAAACACATGCCTTATTGACATTTATTTCCAGCCGTTCTTTTGATCTTGTGATTGAGCAAATACTCATGTGCAAATACCCGGGTGACAGAAATATTCGTGATTTTGGGCACCACGTGTTCAGGGTTTGGAAATTCTTTAAATATGAAAAAAATTGGATGAAATTTTTAACGAATATTTCTGTCACCCGGGTCTGGTTTCCTAATTGGTTTACGTGCTAAACATGTACTTATGTAGACTGGAAGGTACAAGTCACATATGAAATAACCTATCAGTACAGCTTTGCTTAGCCCGAACCAGGTTTGATTAGTAAACCCATTTTTGTCAATAGTTTCCTATAAAATTAGTACTGTATTGTACTATAATTTGTACAATATTACATTTGGCGTCAATTCTTAGTCTTAAATACTTGACACCAAATTCTAAAAATCGACGCTTATAAATCGGTAGGGGTCACCCCCACTAGACCCTCCAGATGAAATTTTTTCCCATTTGTTTTCATATTCCTCCATATTGAGCTACTATCAACCTTTGTACCAATTTTCAGTTCGATTAAAAGATTTCGAAAAATCGGTATGGGTCAGCCCATAACGTACCTTCGGTTGAATAATTTTTCAATTTCACTTCATATTCTTTCATTAGAAGCCCCTAGCACCCTCAGTACCAAATTTCAACTTGTTTAGACGACGTTGAAAAATCGGTATGGGTCACCCAATAGGGTCCCTCCAGATAAAAATTTGGTCGATTTAATTTCATCCCCTTACATTAGGCCCCCAAAACAAGCTTTGTACCAAATTTCAGCTTTCTTCGACAATTTTGAAATTTTGGTCCATAATACCCCACCCACTTATTTGACCCCCACCGGTCAACCACTTGGCCGATCAACCCCAAAAACTATACAGCACGTCACACTCCATAGATGCACATTTCTTCCAAATTTCATCCAAATCGGTCAAAGCGTTCTTGAGTTATCGCAACACAGACAGACAGACAGACAGACAAACGGACAGAACGGGTACATAAGCCCTGGTTCGGGCTAAAAATTTAAAATTTCATCCCGAATTCGAATATTGAATACGTAATTTTAAGAAGTTTGTTTCAATCCGCCACAAAAAAAAATCGGGGGTTTTCCTAACGAACCCACTTTCTGTCCCCAAGCTTCCGCAGCTACTGGTTAGTGGAGACCATACAAAACTATAAAAAATGCAATAAAATGTTTACCCTCACTACTTTGTCACTCGTTTGTAGATTGTATCACATGAAACAAGCCATTCCAATTTATGGATTAACATAAAAGTTGTGCCGACACGTGAGCCCAGTCAACTTTTATATCGTTTCCTTCCTTGATATGATTGCTACTGATGAGGTGTACGTAAAAACATGCAGACGCAATGTCCTGTATCAATGTACATGTATATAAATCGTTGACTAATAAAATTAAAAGGAATACATAAAAAATATGGTAAAATAAGTAATTAATCCTCATTTTACCAATTGAAGTAGTTTCCATTAATTTAATTCGGACGGTCTGTGCGAAATGAGAGACATTGTCCAATTTGAGAGAGAAGATGAGTCATTTTTTATTGCCACGTAATCATTTGCGTAAATGACATTTTCGGATTTCCTGATTATAGGAATCTACACGTTGTACATACATATTTTTGTTTTCTAAGTGATATGCATAACATTTTGATGGCATTTCAGCAAACTTTTGTGAAAAAAATGTACAACTTTCTCCGATTTTCCATGTTGAATGTAGACATATGTACCCTGTAAATAAAGTTGAGTAAAATTGCCACTAGCACAACTATCGTGTGAAATTTACTCCGACAAAGGTAAAATTTACTCAAGGTTGAGCAAAAATCTGCCAATTTTTTTTACATTCATTGGATAACAATTTTAATCAAAATCGAGTAAATTTTAAATCAAGTTTTTTTAGAGTGTAGTATTAACGGTGAATCGTTCTAAACACGGCATAAATGCGTTCGTTCACATATTTTAAATTTTTTATTCAGGGCAAATGATAAATAGAATTACAATTATATCTGTGCAAAAACCTGAACGTCATTATATCACAAAATTAGGAAAATCACACTACTTTAACAATTTGCAGAATTATTTATTTATAACGTAATAATCTCAATATTTCAAACAATTCATAGAAGAATCTTGATAAAATGAGTGAAAAAGCATACATTTTAATTTAGACGTTGCGCAAATTTTGCAAAATATTATTTAAGTGATTATTAATCAGGATTAAGTTCATGATGATAAGTTTTCCAATTAACGATATGTCCTTCAAACTTCGCATTAATTCTTCTCTCCAATCAAAAATATTGGTCCGAGATCCCGGAGTAGGAACCAGGTTGGTTTGCGCCTTTGCCGGGTCTGGAAATAAAATACAAATTTTTATTATAAATTACCGTAAAACTCAAATAGTAGCCACTATTTACAAAAATGGTGGCCGGGACCCGGCTACAACATATAAGAGCGAGACTACTATTTGAGCAGCTGCTACTATTTGAGTTTTTACGGTAATCTCAAACTCGGAAAACTGCTCAATTTAGATGCATACACGCTTAAAAATAATGTCACCCTTTTTTGAGCAGTAAATGCACTCTTACATAATTCGATTTTATGAAAACTATACTAACAATGCGATGGTGTGAAGTGCAACTCTCCGATTTGGATGAAATTTTGAAATTACGCAGTCCAAGTCAATACAACCAACGCTTCTTGAGGCAGTTTGTGCGATGGTTCGAATTTGTCAAAATATTTGAGGTCAAAGTTAAAAAACGAGCGCTTTTTTCTTTAAAAAGCATGGAAGTTGAGTTTGCTTCCACCGCTTTGTGAAAATCTCCCGTTTTTCAACTTTGACCTCAAATATTTTGACAAATTCGAACCATCGCACAAACTGCGTCAAGAAGCGTTGGTTGTATTGACTTGGACTGCGTAATTCCAAAATTTCATTCAAATCGGAGAGTTGCACTTCACACCATCGCATTGTAAGACCAGAGTAACGTTAACTTTAAGAGGAAAGTTGACTCTGGATTTCGTATAGCTTACTTCTTTAATTTAGGATTCAGAGTGTATTTACTCTACAAAATGAGAACAGTATTTTTAAGAATGTACACTGTGAATAAGGTTGAGTAAAATTTCCCACTATTGCGGATCTGACTTATGTTGACGGTGGCTTTACTACCGCTAAAAAGCAGGCACACCATAACTTGGGGAAATATGGAACAAGTGCCGTACTCGTTCAAACTTGTCCTTATTTATTATTATGTCAGCAAGCCATTTCGCTCAGTTTACAATTTTACTGTATTATAAAATATTGCTGGTGTTAGAAATATTTTAATTTATCAACATAATGGCTTCAGATTTCACGCCAGTATATCGAATAAAAACAAGGGAATACAATAGCCAGGCAAGGAAGATAATTTCAAATGTGTGCTATTTTTTCCAACAATACCTACTCTGTTCACATAAAGTGTTACTGGGATAAACAGGAACCGCTTTTTCAATTTTGGGAATTTAAATTTTATTTTTATTTCATTGAAAAGCCAGTTAAATTTTGAACAGAAAACATGTGTCACACTTCAAAATTTGACCCCCCTGCGGCGACGCATTGTTGAAGACGCGAACGCCAAGCACCCACCGCGGCACGCACTTCATTTGTTGACAAAGTGTTGCATGCCGGGATCAGAAATTTTTTGATGACCCTGACACTAATAAGGGGCTCAGAACGGACTTTTTCCTCAACTTTTATCGATATTTGGTGGTGAAGAGGATTGCGACCCGTAAATGCCAAGGTCAAATCTGACCTGGAAATGAAGTCAGAAATGTGGATCCTTAGCCTTGTTTTCACGAATTTCGCTTTATTTGCTACTATAGAGCCGTGCACAAAGGTTAACGGCTTTCCACCCAATATGGACTTGTTGAGGGGGTGTTCCATCTTCACTAAACCGTTAACTAAATATCTTTTTAAACATTCGCCTCTTCGTAATCGAGGAAATTGGGCGATTTTTGCCAAATTCCGCCGATTTCCGCCTAAACGATAACTAAACCTGGATGGTGCGATATTTGACCTTTTTTAGTTTTGGAGGTAAATCCTGGACAGATTTGGCATAATATCTGCCATTTCGTTTATTTTTATAAGCCTCCGCCGTGAAGATCTACTCATCTGTAAACACGGTGGAATTTTATTTTTTTCTCCGTGCCGCTTGAGGAGGGAGTTTAATTTTCTGACCACAGCTTAGGTTTGGAAAATCTTTAACATGTGACGCTTACTACACTAGAAGGCATTTATCCTGGGGTCATTTTTCAGTCCTCATCTAATCGCTGAAGTTGAAAGGCCTTATGTAGAGCCAAAGTCTTCGGCGTGCAACAGAGATTTTCTGTTATTCTGGCGCTCGAAGCGTCAGACATCACTGGAGTCCTCTATGAACTTGGACCAACGGAACTTGTATGCTCATGGATAGACAATGTCTCTAGGAGTATTTTAAAAGTTTGGCCAAACAAATAATACGTGTACTTGGATTGCTACACTAATGCAAACATTGTGAATTTTTCTTCTCTCGTAAAAAGTAAAAAATTATTGTCGCGCGCGCGCAGTTAAGCTCCTACAACTTTTGACCCAATGAGGTCAGGTAAAAAGAGTTAATATCAATGATAGCCACTCAGTTCACGTACAAAATGCAATTTATCTTTTGATTTTATCTTATCGGGTTCAAAAGTAATGGGCAAGTAACACTTTATGTGAACAGACTAGGTATAAAAAACATCCAGATTTAATGTCGGGAAGCCCAATAAAAATTGCTGCAAAGACATTAAATATTGGAAGTAGAACTGTTGAAAGAATAGTTAAGAATGCTAACATTGCGTCTCCTAAAAAACACCTGGCCGTATTCCCAAACTATTTGATGACTTTGACAAAGGTGCAATTAAAAATATTGTACAGACGTTCTACAAGGATAGGTATGTAAACTGGGATATTTACTTTTGTATTACAGAACTATGACATGAATTATTTGTTGTCTAAAAAATAGAGCCCCACCCACCTTAAACATGCTGCGGAGCAAAATCAAGGAGCAAAACATCGGTCCACCGTCGTTCTCCAGAGACACACTTTGGAGGTTACTACGAAATATGGGGTATAAATTCACAGCGATAGACAGACGGATCCATCTTATTGAGCAGCCTAATATTAGACTTTGGCGACAAAAATATATACAGCGCCTGAATCAAAATTCTACTAGCGATAACCCACGACCCGTCATCTATCTAGATGAGTCGTGGATTGGCTGCAACTCCGTAGCAGTTAAAGGATGGATGCCAAAAATTATGAGGACCAAGCGAATGAAATTAGACCACAGTTTTCCTCAAAAAACCGGAAGAGGACCACGGCTAATTATGCTCCACGCGGGATCAAAAGACGGATTTGTCCCCGGAGCTCTCCTATTAAAAAGTAGTACAACCAAAGACGAAGACTATCACTCCGAAATGGACTCATTTGGATTCGACAATTGGTTCCGAAAATGCTTACTTCCCAATATTCCACCAAGTTCAATAATAGTTATGGACAACGCATCTTACCATTCTACGACGGATGCTCCCAAATCGGGTGACAAAATTGGGGTCATGAAATCGTGGCTGAAAAAAAAGCAAATTCCCTTTGATCAAAAAATGATAAAAAAAGAAATATGGAAACTTGTGATGGCCGAGAAAAAAAATGCAGAGCACTTGTTCATTGACAGACTCGCTAAAACTCATGGACATGAAGTTCTGCGCCTTCCCCCATATCAATGTGACCTTAACCCGATCGAGCTTGTTTGGGGACATATTAAACAGCATGTGGCGAAATACAACACAACAGGAAAAATTAATGATATAATTGAACTTGCTCAAGAGTACATAGAAGCGTATGATCCGGACGTTTGGAAGAAAAATGTTGTTCATGTTGAAAAAATTGCAAATAATTATGAAATTTTGGACGGATTTCCAACACTCCCTCCTGAACCGTTCCAAATTGTCATTCCGTTAGATGTAGATGACACTGACTCAGAAACAGATGTTAGTGACAGCGATGACGACAGTGACCAAAATGAGATTAGTGACGATCAGGATGAAAACGATCCCATTGAACAATTAAATAATTTAACTGACGAAACTCATCAATTAATTCATGAGACACCAACACAGTCATCAAAACGACGGAAACAAGCTCTGGCTCCTCGTGTTTTATTTTAATAATACATATTTACCATTGAGAATTTTTCACGATTGTCTTTTAAGTATTATTTTATATATGTATGCTTGACGGAATTTAATGTAACTAAATGTGAGTAAAAATGAAACAGCAGTCTCATTACGGCACTGTGTAAAAGGGAGTGACTTTTCTCACAAGGCGGTGAAGATTTGAATTTAAAATTCCGTCATTAGAAACCGGACGGACAATACCACAACTACTTGTGTAAAATTTACTCAAGGTTGAGCTAAGTTGGATAAATTTTAACTTTTACTCAATAGTTGTGTTGGTGGAAATTTCACTCAAAGTTGGGTAAATTTTACTCAGATTTTTTTAGAGTGTAAAAAAGTTTTACAAATTTTAGATATGTTTATACCTTCAACGTTGGACGCGAGACCTGGAAAGAGAATTTCTTCCAGAATAATGAAAAAGGGTGCCGCGAGGATTACAAAAATTAAAAACTTTGTCTCCATCTTTCACCTCGTTTACCGCGAGTATGTATTTAAATGTCTACGTAGGTGCTCACTTTCGGAACGACTTTGAGAGAATGACCAGTTGACAAGGAATGATTCCCCCTTTGTATCGTACGACTCTGATAATGGATACCCACAGGTTCATAGCGTGACAGGAATATGCACATGAGTGAATAGTGATACATGTGAAAGGTTGCTTCACTTTCTCCGAAAGTGAAATCACGTACAAATTTACATAAGCTCAACTGGATCGGGGACTTGTATTTGGGACATGAAGAGATGTTCTCTTAATCTTAATTCTCACTGTCCCAGGGGTCGGATTCTGCCTGCAGATAATAATTACGTACATACACTCTTGGGCAATTGGTATTAAATAAAATTGAATCATTACCGGAGTACATTTATGACTCTACCGGCTTCGGTAATATCGACAATTACGATTTACGTAGTAATGCCGAAATATTTACCGCTCAGGAACAAATTAACACCAGTCCGGTAGGGAATTATTACAGAATCAGTACGGGGAATATATGTGACTGTACATTTAGAATGTACATTCCACGGATTATTTTTGAGATTAGGTTTTGACCCTGAAAAGTGGGTCATTTTGCCCCAATTTAATTGATGATAGGTCGTATGTGTTTAACACAATTGCAACTAGAATTATAGATAAATAGATATATATAAAATCACACCACATGTTTTACATAATTACTGCATAATACTTATTAATTCCTTGACTATGCATATTTAGTTAATTAGTTTTTGAGATTAGTTTTATCCATGGGAAAGTTAGTATTCGAGTATGTCACGAAAAGATATAAATGCGATCCAAATTTAATCCATAATTAATCGATAATTAATTATTTCTTTACGACTGGAGAAACAAAATGTTTAGAAACATATATATGTACAAATTATTGTTTAAGGAATTAGGGCGAGTTTGCATTAAATTCAAACTCTGGCGTAAAAATGCATATGCAGGTTTGGGTGCTTGTGGAGTCCGAGGAGAAGCAATGCAACTCGCTGCATACACTGATGTAGTCACTCTACACCAACCGGTGACAAGGCCTATGAAATTGATTGGGTGATCTAAAATTGCATGCGTACCAGCCACCATACCGAGAGTCCTTAAACTAAACAGACTAAAATGACGATTTACTTTTTGTATGATGGCTCTCATGCTGAAAAAAAAATGAATGTGAACAGGGGCTCCATACAACCACAATGTTGGTCTATTGACCATGGTCAGAAACATTAGTTAAGAATTACTTAAAAACTATTTCGTAAATATTTGTCATGAAAAAATAATGAGAATTTGAAGGTCATCTTAATTTGATAACAAGTTTGGTACCATGGTACCTGGACCACACGGTGAAACTGAGTCTCGCAGAATTCGGAACCTCGCAGAATGTTATACATACAACACATGCCTTGTATGCGTTGTATATACTGCACATGCATGGTACGTACATGTTCACGTACGTCTTTCTTGAAACGAAACAACCACATTTTATCTAATTAACAATTAAATTTATATTACTCAAGTAATTAAGATTTAGTGGGCAGCGTAAGTCTTTAGGTAAGTTATGGTGGGTAATTTTACAAATCTATATTTATTTTGGTATTTGTTTACATTTCATTGGTGATTTATATATTTATTTGTGTACATATTTATTTGTCTAGTGGGCAAGCCGGGGGAGCATTCATAGCAGTTTTTCGAAATTTTTATGTTTTTCAATATTTCAAAATCTTACTTATTAATAATTTGTATCAATTTTTAAAAGTCATTTTGCTCATTTTAAATGACAAAACACGCTATGAATGGTCCCTCGCAACTTGAAGAACGTTGCGGTCGGTCTGCCTAATGAACATAGTTCGGCGGACCCACCGACTACCGTGGTTGGTAGGTATCGGCGGACCTCAATCCACCGAAAATAAAACGATCTAAATAAGCCATTTAACATACAAAAACCAAAATATCACCAAATTTGTTAATTTACTGTATAAATAAATGATACAGTCCGACCACCCCCCTCAGCGCCAGTGGGTGTGGTGGGGGCAAAATGAGATTTTTACATAAATTGAATCTATGGATGGAGTACAGAAAATTTTGCGTTCCCGCGTTGTGCCACACCCACTCGGCACCTGGGGGTGTGGCACTTAGTATATTTTTTTCACAAATTGGTGATAAAATTACTTGATAATATAGGCATACAACCTACGATGGTGAAGTCGTGTGTGATACCGGCTTGTACGCCCCAGGACCGACGAGATTGTGAAAGTTTATCATTCCATGGGTAATAAACCTAAAATTAAGATTTTTAATCTCTTTGTTAATCAAAGGTATTTCTTTTAGATTTCCTCGCAACAACAATCAGTTGCTAGGAAAATGGGTCAATCTTGTCCGCACGTTAAAACAAGATTCTAGTTGGGAGCCTGGCGAAGGTACTAGGATCTGTTCTCGACACTTTCTTGGATCGCAGGTACAAGAGTATGGCAACCGAAGAAAAATAATCGGTTCTCCTGTGCCTACTTTATTTCTTGACATCCCCAATGTTATGATGGAGGTAGATAGAGTTGAATGTAAGCAAGTCAAAGTTCTTTATCATTGTTAGAAACAAGTAATTAACAATAAACTTAAAACTTTCAGCTGATAGTCATGACACCTCCAGTCCTCCACTAATATCAAACGCTTCTGCGGAAATTGTAGGTGTGGATTCTGACACCGATTCGGACCCTGAACTAGAAATCAACATCTCCCAAATTGAAGACAGTGTAATTGGTGAAGTCACCTGCCCATGTTGTCGCGTTTCAATATCCATTAGACAAACCAACAGTGGCCAACTCGAGGGAGAACGTAAGGAGGATCAGATGGATGTGAGCATTAGACCTAGAAATAAGGCAAGAAAACGTCTTTTCTCTCAAACACTTTCTGAAGACGATGATCCATCTGGCAAGCCTGATAGCATCCAACCTACACCCAGACACCGGTTTCGTGAGGACCACAAGTACAGTGCTTCACCTCGTCAGATGGCTGAAAAATACAAGTTCATCAAGAAGGAGTTGGAGGAGTTGAAGGTCAAGTATAAACAACTTCAGACTACTTTTACTCATAAGCAGCGTTCAGAAGTCTCTTTGAAGGATGCTTTAGAAAAAATTAAATCGTTGAATGGTCGTCAAGGAGCCGTCTTGCAGGCGCAGTTTCCGGCTGTCGTTCAGTGCATAATTGATAATGAGGAGAAGGCGTTGAAGACGAAAGGAAAAACCGGTATGATCTATGACGAGGAAATGAAAAGGTTTGCCGCAACTCTGTACTTCTATTCTCCTAAAGCCTATCGGTTTCTTCGGCATCACATGGCCTTACCAAATCCTAAAACAATTTCATCGTGGATGCAGTCGTCAAACTGCGGCCCTGGATTTAACGTAGACGTGTTGGATAAGTTAGGAGATGTAAGGGCTAGGGACACTTCCAATGTCATGACCGAAATTGTTATTGTAATAGATGAAATGGCGATTAGGCAGCAACTTGTGTGGCATCCTTCAAAAAATACGAACGTAGGTCACATTGATTATGGGTGTAATGGAGTACAAATTTCTGCATATGCCCCATTAGCAAGTAACGCATTAGTTTGTATGATATCTGGCTTATCAGGCGGATGGAAATGTCCGATTGGGTATATTTTTACCAATAAAACAGATGCCGATATACAAAAAACGTTTCTTGACCAGGCTTTTACGTTACTTGAGGAGCGCAATTTTAACGTTAGAGCTTTGATCTGCGACGGAAACACTGCTAACGTTGCCCTTTTCGATGGTTATGGAGTTTTGGAGAAAGGCGTTGCTGGAAAGTTTTCATTTGACGATATTGTTTCAAGTTTTCCTAATCCGGCAAACCCAATTAAAACCGTTTATGCCATTTACGATATTGTCCATATGATGAAGCTTTGGCGCGGCTTAATCCACAACTCTTTTACTAAGGAAGGTAGTGTTTCTATGAGCGATGGAAGGGAGGTGTCGTGGGCATTTATTGAGAGGCTATATGCATTGCAAACCAAAGAAAATATTAGGGCAGCCAATAAGCTAGGCAGGTATCACATTGATTTTGCCAATCACAAAATGAATGTGAAGTTGGCAGTACAAACCTTAAGTAAATCGGTCGCAGATTCTATTACTTTCTGTAGAGATTCTCATATGGAGGAATTTGAAGGTTCGGAAGGGACGACCAGTTTCCTTTACAAATTAGATGAGGCCTTCGATATTTTAAACTCTAGAAGTCCCTGTCAGAAAAGGCAAAAAGCCCCACTGTCCAAAGGCAATTTCAAGTCTAAGTCTCATTTTCTCACTCAATTTTGTGAAGAAATTCTAAAAATGAAACATACGGATGTTAGATTTTACAAAAAGACAGGTAACTACTCGAAAATACCCAAACTGCTGGTAGAAAGTGATAGGAAAAGAGCAGCTATCGGTATGGTTGTAAGTATTAAATCCATTCTTTGTATCTCACACGATCTGCTATTTCGTAAAAT